GAAAATACACACTATTATAGCACCGCTAACTAAAAACGTGAAAGCGATGTAGAATAAGAAACTGATAAAATACACAGATATGACACTTAGTTGAAATCTAGACATCCACTGACTGTCTGAAATCCAGACATTGTGCAAATTTAAAAGAGTACAAATTGTTCAATGGTTCTCTTTTCAGCATGTTTTTTTTTATCAAAATCATTGACTGAACATCTGAATCAGCTTAATATTAATCAGTGTTTACCCTTTATACTAAGAGAAGATGTATAGAATCACATCACCCGAAATATGTCCAATGACTTCTTATTGCACTTCGATGTGGACGTGAGAGGAATACATGGGTTTAGCTCGTCTAAACACAAGGATTTTACCTTCAATAGTTAATTTAAAAAATAATTAAATTAAACAATAAATAAGCAGAAATATATTTCGTGAAGAGTTCTTACTGCAATGGGAATCAAATGACAAAAACCATTTTTTATCAATGAAAGTTTTAAAAAAATTAAAATAAAATCCAGAATAGTTACAGAAAATATGTCATTGAAATATCTATATTATTCACAGTAATTTCTTACTAGCCAGTCTATGCTTGTAGAAAATCATATGGCTTGACTCTATAAACATTCTACTTTTCAGAAGCTTTGCATTATGTACGTCGCAGCCTCCTCACCGACAAAAACGATCAGGAGCAGAAAAGAAATACGAAACAGTTCTGCGAACAATGCAGCTTTTCTCTACATTCGCCCCCCAACATGCAAAAGGCCCGTAATAAATCCTATTGTATTCGTCGAACTAGCTGATACGGCTTTGTGTATTAGCTATTCAGCTTGTTAAGGGCGAAACAGATATTTTGCTCTGCGCGCGTTTCCGACATCGCGCTAGGCTGGCGCGCCGCAGTGAGCGCGTGGGCGGAGGGAGAGGCAGAAAGAAGGGGATGGGCGGGAGGAGATGGAAAGAGTGTGTGGGTGAGTTTGCAGGCGGGTATGGGAAGGTGGGGAGGAGGCGTGGGCAGACAGACGGGATGGATAGAGCAGGCCAGGCACGGCCGTTTTGACCGATGCGTGATGTAGAAGGAAGGGGCGCACTAGGATGAGTGAAGAGGGATGGACTCGGGTGTGACGGGGACTGCGGAGCGGGGTGACTGGTTCAAGCTGGTGGGACGAGGTTCGTGGGACGGTCGTGCTTTGGTGGGGCGGGTGTGTCGGGGAAGGACGATTCGGCATAAGAACTGAGTTGAAAGCGGGCGGGGACGGTTGGACGAGTCAGTAAGAGGCGAGTTGAGGCGGGGCGGGAAGGGCGGTTTCGGGCGGGGATGGGAACGCGACTGAGTGTCTCGGTGGGAGGGTGTGGTGAATCCCGCAGAGTGTTCTGGTAAGTTGGGTTTGGACGTTCACGTCATAGAGCTTGGGCGGGAGTCGAAAGCGGGCGGGCTAGGCAGGGTGGGCTAGGTGGGACGTCGCAGCTGAATGTGGGCGGGCAGCGGGTCACCAGAGAGCGAGCGCCGGAGGAGGGCGCGGCTGAGAGTTCCGGTGGGGCGGGTGGTAGGTCGGGATGGGCGCCGAGGCGTAGAGCTGGGGGAGTCGAAAGTGGGCGAAGCTAGGCGAATGGGCAAGGCGGAACGACGCGGCTGGAGGCAGGGCGGAGGGTGGAGCGGCGGTGGATGGCCGGGAGTGTATGTGCTTTGGCAGTGCGCATGAAGCCGTTTTCACAAAGAACTGCTATCGTGGCATGTAAACCGACCGCTGCGCACCAGTGGACTGCTTGCTGTCCGCACCCAGCACGTTTTATTCCGCACCGCCGACGAGAACTTCGGTTCTGCCTCTATTAGTATAGTGCGGGTGATGGAATATTTAGGACACATAACCTAAAATTATCTAGTCATAACACTTTTAAATTTTCGAAGAAATATGTGTACAGTTTAAAGAACATAATTGATGTGTGGACTTCGTATATGTTTAAAAAAATTGCATCAGTATGTACACCACAGAAAGGCCTTTGCTGAGATAATTTAAAAGTTGCGACGTGTGAATCAATTGTTTTGTAGAAAAACATTTTAGTAGGTTGAGCGGTTCTATAGGCATTGAAGATTGCGAGACGTTCTTCAGTGAGTGTTCTGTACTTAGTCCCATTTCGAGGAAAACAATGCGGAATGTAACATCGTTGTAGGAAACAAGGTGAATGTACAAACATGCTCGTATCTTATTATCATTAACCTAAACTAATTGATTTAAAGATGATTTAAAAATATATATTTAAAGATTAATTGTGATGGTTTGTAAGCAGACAAGAGCATTTAAGAGATTTTTATTGTTTTATTACATTACAATGAAAATAGAACAATGTTATTTATTTCTTCTCAATGAATGCGTTTATCATTCGCTTTAATTCATTGTTTTTATTCAGCTAATATTTATTGCATGTGTTTTAAAATTATTTTACGCATTTCGCGAGAAACTAGGAAAACGAAGAATCGCAAAATTATCTCAGCTTTCATGATTTCGACATAACTCTAGAAACATAAGAATTCATTTTTACGTATTTAAGAAAAAGGATACAAGAAACATTCTTTGCAAAAAATTAAATATATCCGTAAACATACAATTGAGAGTTTAGATATAACATGACATTTGCACTATCAAAAATGCCGTACCTATACAATGGGTACATTACAAGCATTTGTACAAGGAGTATATTAACACTTTTATAAACTCTATATCTGTCCTTTGAAGGTTGTTTGAAGGTTGTTTGTATCTATATTAAGACGGAAAAACTTACTCTGAATATTAGTTAAATGTTCTGAAGATAAGACAATTATAAACAAGTTTATAAATACTACTTACGTTAAAAATGACCATAAAACTGATCTGAGAAAGAGAGAAAGAAAGAAAGAAAGAAAGAAAGAAAGAGAAGTGAGATTTGACGAGGTAGTAGATGCTACCGTAGAACAATACGGCTTCCAATTTGCTAATTTATTTCTCCACAAAAAAGTCAATCTGGTATAATTTTAAATGATAAATGTGAAGTTGAATATAATGAATATAAATTAGTAAAACTGTGGGTTATAATACAAATTACCTTGAAAAATAATTAGGCAACCCACTGCTCATAACAACCTAAAATTCATATTCAGGAAATATTATCTTCATCATCAATATGCTCGTAGAAATTACTACATTGACTGAAGCATGCTCTCTTCATGTTTTTGGTAAAGTCTGACCTCACTCTTTATTCTTCTCATTTCCTAACATGTCACTCCGCTCACATCACACTCTTTCTTTTTCCCCTAACACTTTTTTCCGACGATTCTCTATCGGTGCCAGCCGTCACGTGTCCACGACGACAGCAACCTTCAAGCAGATTCCTCCTTCCCCTCTACTCTTTTGCTTTCCCTACACCTCCCTCGCAAAGCTTCCAGGCCAACACATATGTACGTACTCGCCAGTTTTTTACCACGCTTCGTATAAATCGAGGAAGACGCACAGCAACGAGTCTCCAAGACATAAATCATCACTGCGAGGCAGTTGCCATCGCCGCCCTTTTCCTCCTCATTCAACCCTCCTCCGCTCTCACCCTTTCGACCTCGCCCGCGCCGAAGCCTGCGGCCGCGCCGCGTCCAATTTCCGGTTTCGCCGCCAGGGGGCTCCCTAAGCGCGGGCAGCGTCATCCGACGATAGCCCCTTCCCTCCCTCGCCCCTTCCGGCTCTCTTTCTCACCCTCTCACCCTGCCTCTTCGCCTCTCCGCCCGCTGCTTCGACGCCCGATTTTTGGCCCGAAATAGAACAGCATCTGTAAATAATTTAGTAGAACATGTAACGATGTATTTTACAGCGTTGCTACTAAATCAAACATGGCCGACCGCTACCGCGCCCGCGAATAAATGAAACGCACCCGCTTGCGGTTTTTTTAGGTTAGTTCTCGTTGATACGCCTCATCGACCTCGTTTGCTGGTCGTAGTCACGGCACATATACATTTTTTAGGGTTCTATTTATAAGATACATAATACCAGAGATTAACGGATTTCTAACTCTGCAATTAGAGAACAAAATTATTTGTATTACACCTTCCGAGAAATATTTTTTAAAATTTTAATGTAACTCCAGTGCTGTTCCAAAGCGCGATAAAGTGAATTTCACTCGTTTGCTGTTAATGTCGGAGAAACGTTTAGCACAAAGTGATTTATTTCATATATTCAATTACGAAACGAGCGGTAGGGAATCTTAAGGATCATTGAAATGAAATGTATTAATAGGTTATTTAGTATTTTTATGAGAAATTGATAACGGGTGGCATTCTGGATAGGAAACTGTTAGCTTTTGTAATTGTGATTTTCATACAGCACGCTAAGTAATATCCACGATAAATTGTATTAATTAACACCTCAAGACATGAAGATTAAAAATATTTGTTATTAATTCTTTGAGGCCAAGTGTCTTCAATTGTGTACCCCAATTTTGTATTGTTGTAAAGTAAGAACTGGAGTCATTTCAACACTGTAGTTGCAGAATCGCGTCAGATTTTTATTATTCTATGATATTTCATATCATTGCTATCTCTTGTGACTTGAATTTTACAATCGCGTTTCATAGCGAGTGGTACGATTTCCCAGGTACCGGCAGCGGAGTGATTGAATAATTGTTTTCTTTTCTGTTTATTCCTTTGTTTTCCAGTTGTCTGACACTAGGTATAGGTTCTAATAACATACTAGTAACTATTTATTTCAGCAACGTAAGTCATCATAATCTAGTTGAATTGTAAATTGTGTGGGAAATTGCTGTGCACAATTGTATTGTAATAAAAAACTTATGCACGAGCGAATTAGCTTATTATGTATTTTTGAATTATTTAATTGTGACAGTCCTACATCTTGCACCATAATGCTTCTAAAGAATAATAATGAAGGTTTTCATGCATAAAAAGTAAGATCCAAAATTTGGAAATTATTTTCAATAGAGTTCTGTCAGATTTAGACATACTTTTCGTTTTCAAAACGTTGTTTCAGAAGCTGTGTTGGAGTGTGAAGAAAGCTATTTACCTCATCTCACCAATAATTTAGTTTATATTAACTAAAACATGGAATTTGGTATTTTGTTATGTAAAGTCTAATTTGAAAAAAAAACGATATGAGGAAATGGTTCTTATCCACTTTCCCTCCACAATACTAAAATCAATAAACTGTATTTAACACATCGTTATTTAGAAAGAATTGTTGAATGTGTTGTAATAATTGAAATATATAATGAGTATGACATGTGATGACACATGATGGGAGTGACATGCTAGGAAATGAGAAGAATAAAGAGTGAGGTCAGAATTTGCCGAAAAGCAAGAAGCAAAGTTCAATCAACATGGTAATTTCTTCGAGCATTTTCATGATAAAGTTAATTTTTTTTGAATGTGAAATATGAATCTTAGATTGTAATGAGCAAAGGTAATATTGTCCAATTGGTTTTCAACGTAAGCTATATTACAACTCATGTATGTATGTATGTTATGTACTTAGCGCGACAGCCTAAGACTAAATTATAAGGGTTTATATTCAGCATTTAAAATAATACCAGATTGATATTTTTGTGGAGAAGAAAATAAAAGATATATGCTGTTTATTGTTATTTTGTAATAATTGTGAAACGTTCACAAGCTATATGTTATGCTTTGTATTTATTGCTAGTTTTCAACAGCTTCCTTTATTAATTTACCCTTTTCATTTCGCTTAGAGAGTTATGTATGAAATCATCTAACGAATTTATTGAGTTATTGACCACAGAATAATTGAGGGGATTGCATGTGTTATAGTGTACACATCTATTAATTATTTGAGTAACAATATTCAATGATCATACGTATTTTAATTTGCCAATCGCTTCCAAATTTTCGGTTAAATATGCATATGTGATTTGTGCTGAATTTAGATAAACGAAAACAATTAAATGGGTCCCTTTAATAGCTTAAAAGGGCAACGCATGCATGTTTTTCCCGCTGTGGAAAATAAATTAAACAGATCTGGTTCGAGCAATCTCTGCGAACACATCGAATTTGACCATATTAAATTAATCTCGCGTCTGGAGTATCATAAAGATTATTCAGCATTTCGATCCAGTCAGAGCGATACGTCAATTGAACGGCTCACGAAGAGAGGCATTTTGTGAGCTTTTAACATTTTGCATGGGCGGTAGGACAAATTGGCGTGATACGACATGAAAGTGGAATTTTGTGTTCCACATTCAATTCAGGCAGTTATAACCTTTGCGGCACGTAGTCAGAATGAAGGCGGGTCCAGTATTGCCAGGAATGTGTGCCGGATTAAAATCGAGAGAAATCCGTAGATGAAAGAGTATGGTGTGTAATATATGTAGGTGCTGTATATTATATAAACGAGCTTTGTTAATTTCCGAAGAGAGTGGATTTCGCGTTCGGTTTGTAGTTAAATTGAAATCGCGGGCGCCGCCAATACGGGGGGCAGTGGCAGGGCGTGGATGGCCGGGGAGAGAGGAGGTGGCGGTGTATTGTAATGCGATTTCAAGGTGAGCGCGGCGTGGAGTGACGGGGCCGGGCATTATCCTGGTCGATGTGGAGGGGGTGAGGCGCTAAGAGAGGAGGCAGGCCAAAGAGGATGCAGATTCCACATCCCGTATTACGTGACTCGGCTCTTCATTGCCGGTTCCCAGCGGGGAAATAACATGCTTCCACTTTTTACTTGCGGAAACAAAAAGTGTTATGGTGAGACGAGGCCAAGCTCGGGTCTAAGTGAACTTTCCACTGCAGTTAGACTGGAGCTTTGATTTGTTCTTGTTGCTGCACGTTATCTCGTAGAACATCGTATGATATTTTTTGTGGCTTAAAAGGGATTCATTTTTACGACGAGTGCTCTAGAGAGCGAGACGTATGAAGCGTTTATTGATTCGTTCATCGTCTGTAGAAGCCTATGTATAGAATGAATACCAATAACGTGTTAAAAATCATTTATTTTTATATAAAATTATATAAAAATATTTTTGTAGACAAATTTGTGAATTTGATAATATTTGAAATAACTGGAAATTTATAGTTGAAATCAGCTCTATGCACATGCGTTTGAAACTTTGAGTAGATATAATCAACATAACAAAATATTTTATGACAGAATTTGATACTAATTACTGTGCAATAATGGATATTTCTTTTGTTCCAGGTAAGATCTACTGAGCCTTAATCAAAGGAGTCATTTTCTTTCCGTGAGTTTATATTTTTTTAATTAAATATCTGAATATTTCTTGTGAACTGTGAAGGAAAGTATTTTATGGTATAAGGTACAGTATTTGCTGTTCAGTGTCGCTTATTTGTTTCTGTAGTGGCATATACAAAGTGAGATAGTAATAAGAACAAACAGTATTTTCACATCTACATTTAATGCAATAAAGCCAACTGAAAATTTATTGCAGGAGGGTTTTGCAAATTTATCGCAGTTTCATTGATATTGTTCCAAGGTAGCACGTCATTGAATCTGCAATGCCACCTCCAGATAACGTTTTTCTTTAATTACATCACTATGATCAATGAGTCATTTTACCTTTTACCTTCTATTTAACGTAGTATTTTACGTATTTTATGTCTTTTAAGCAAGTCAGCGACGTTAGCCAAATTGCTTAAATATGCTTCGTGACGCCACGGAAATTAAGCAACTCGCATATTCCTGGATGGGTGTCCGTCTGGGACTCCAGATTACGGCGCCGAGATCCAGGCCAAAGGAATGAAAGGCAATGACTCTCTGCCTCTCATTGTTGAAACGACGGCTAGGAGAAGTAGTCGCAAAAATGACGCAAATAAAATTTTTTTAAATCCAAAATAAAAATACAACTATGAATTTTGCGTAGATTACATTTTCTTTAGCATAATAAAATGGCATAATACGGCATGTGTTAGTATAAAAACAGTAAACGTGTTATAGCAAATAGGTTTTCAGGTTCAGGATATTCACTTCAAATGTGCAAACGTTTTCGAATGAACATTCTTTCATTTAGCCTATAATTGACACTTTTTTCTCGAAAAAGTTTATTTATTGTAAACAAATTTTGGTCACATTTTCAGACATAACTAGTTTTCAATTATCTTTCCGGACTGCAAAACAGTTTGAAAAAAGAGGACGAAGGAGACCTATTGTAGAACGAAAATTTTAGAAGAACTTCAAAACTAACTATGCTTCAGAAGCTATTCAAAAATGAAGAGGACAGCGGTATCATGGTGGCAGCGACAAGACACTTTTTGACTTTAGGATGATGATCATTGTAAAAATATTTTCTATAACACTGAGCTGTCTTTTATTGTAATGTACCGTAATATGTATGAGCAATCTGTTTCATAATATTTGCTTTGTAAAGAAATTTATTAGAGTTCATAAAAAATACAATTTTGCTTCTGTATTATCATACAAAGTTGGGTTTTCATTAAATACGTAAGCGGAAACATAGGCCGTCTTTGTTCTACATATGTACAATAGTACGACAATTATGAAGAAAAACGAAAAAAAGGACACGAAGAAAACCGAACAACATTTCTGTTCCTCGTTGATTAGACCCACGCAAAGGAAACGCTATATAGCTCTAATCAACTACTGTGGAGGGTGGGG